TTCCTCTCTACTCCCTTGCCTATCTGTGGCTCTCGTCTGTGACACTGTCTACTGAAGTGTGCCAATCCATCTTGATGAGCGTTTTCCTCTGACTTTCTAATTTCCTAAGCATGCTGGCCTTCTTCAGAGGCTGGACTTTGCTGATAATATGTCTGAAGTATGTGTGATGAAGAATTACCATCCTTGCTTCTAAGTAGTATTCTGGCTGCACTTCTAAGCTGCATTTGGTTATTCTCCTGGCAGCCTATGATGTATTCAATAGTCTTTGCCAGCATCCTAATTCAAAGACATCAATTATTTATTTGTTTTTCTTTTTTATTCATTATCCAACTTTAAAATGTATGTAGTGTTTGAAAATACCATCGTCTGAGCCAGATACAACTTTATCCTCAAAGTTACAACCTATTGTTATGATTATCAACAATTTCTCCATTCCTCCACCTCATTGTTCTTCTGCTTACATGGTCCTCATGATAACTCAAGCCAGTAACTTCTTTTAAATTCTTCCAGAGCCCTGAGTCTGAGCTACCTGTCCTCCTCATTGTTCAAAGCCTGGAAAACTCCTACTATTTCCTTGAAGTCGAGTGACCATGGACTTCTAGCTTGCTCTCTATGTAGCTGGCCTGCAGTTCCTGAAAGACAATGACAATATCTTCCTAGTCATTGCACCTTGCAAAGCACAGGACTATGAACTTGGTAAAACAGTGCAAGTACAGAAGGCAGTGGGCTAGAGTGAGTAGCATCTGTCTACTTCATAAAAAGAGAGAGAGAGAGAGAGAGAGAGAGAGAGAGAAAAGGACCCCCCCAGGGTCTGGCCTCCAGAAGGCTCTTGCTTTGAATTTGATTTTCTCTGCTGGGAATAAATTGCCTGTGTCCCCTCCCATCCAGTCCACTCATTGTACTGGTCACTCGCTGGCTGTACTCTGGCTTAGGGATAGACTCTGAGGCTGTGAAAAGCAGCAGATCTGTCTGCGCTTCCATGGGCATCATCAAGTGAGAGAGTCTTCCAGAAGGTGACCTCTGCCTGGGAAGGAGCACAGCGGTTATAGAGCTGGCCTGCTAACCAAAAGGTTGGCGGTTCCAACCCACCAGCTGATCCTGGAGAGAAAGATGTGACCAAAAGATTGGAAGACCTGTAGGGCAGTTCAATCTATCCTACAGGGTCATTATGAGTCAGAATCCACTTGATCGCAGTGAGTTTGGTTTTCTGGTTTAACCTTGGCCTGTCCTTTCCTTGCCACCACATTAGCTTCAGGTTTTCACTGCTTGAGTGAAGAGCAAGTTTGCGCAGTGGGACACTGCAGGTAAAATTTGGGGAGCAGTTAGGATCTCAGCTAGAAACAGGAAGAGTTAGCTCAGTGGGGTCCAGATGTGGGGAAGATCATGGAGGAACAAGGCTGACCAGGGAGGGAGGGTGGAGAGGAGTGGGATGGTCAGGAGAGGACAGAGCGGCCAGGAGGAAAGCAACAAGAGGAAGGAATGTGCCCGAACTCGAGAGTTGTGTGGGAGGAGGGAAATTTGGCGGGAGGCCGAGAGAGACTGTGCCTCCTCAGCCCTGGCCCTCTGACAGCACCTGAGAGGAACGTGAGGAAGAAAACAAGGCAAACTTTGCCACCTCTGGCTGATTGGGGAAGTTTGTGTTGGAAAAGAATATCCAACCCACAGGTCCTGCTGTTCCTCTGCCCTCCTTCTCCTCACACTTGCGAATGGGTTCCTGACCCAGCTCTCCTCTGTCACTCCCCTCAGAGCTCCCAGGTTTCTCCTAAGTCCCTGGAATGGATGGAATGTGGGATGAAGCCAGTGCCTGAGAGTCTGAGAGGAACGGACTTGAGGCGGGGAGGGACACTATTGACGTTTGGAAAGATCAACACTATACTAAATGGTACCTCATTCACATGTTGGTGTCTGTTGTTCTTTCTGGGGGTAGAAAGGGAGCCTAGGAGATACTTTCAGCATCTGCTGGGCCGGGTTCTCAGGAGACAGCAAGCCTGAAGCTGTGGGGAGAACCCAAGCTATTTGCTTCCTGCAGTGGGAGGAGGGAGATGAGGTAACTTAGGGGAAGTATTTACTGAGGAGGACTACAGATCTTGTTCCCAATCATCTTTCTGATCATATCACATTTGTGTTTCACAAAAACCCTACAAGACAGGCATGATTGAAAATGCAACAATTCATATTTTCACTATAAAATATTAATGGAGAAAATAAAGTTCAGAAAGTTTCCTCAAACCTAGGGGCTAGCTAGCTGCGGCTTGAATCCAAGTCATCCCAAATCTAAAGCAGATGGTGGTCTTTATTGTTAGGAGCTGTTGGGTGGACTCCAACTCATATAATATATCATATATCATATATCAATCATATATCATATATCATATCATATCATATCATATCATAATTATCACTCATAGGAAAAAACAGATGGAAATCTTGCGTGATCCTCACAATCTCCACTGTGTGTAAGACCGTTGTTGCAGTCCCAGTGTCAAGCCATCTCATTGAAAGTCTAATCTCCTTCATCAAGCCTCTGCTTTCCAAGCATGATGTCCTCCTTCAAGGACTGGACCCCTGACAATATATTTGGCCCAAAATATTTGAGAACAAGTCTCACAATCTTTGCTTTTAAGGAGCATTCTTATGGCACTTCTTCCAAGACAGACTTGTTTGTTCTTTTGGCAGTCCGTGGTATATTCAATACTCTTTGTCAATATCACAACTCAAAGACAATTGCACACTACATTAGTTTATATGAAGGCCCTTACATGTGAATATTTACTTTTAGACTGAGTAAAATGAAATAAAGCGAGACATTCAACTCCTTGGTTATACTAGCCCCATTTCAAGTGCCCAGTAGCCGTATGTGGCTAGTGGCTACCATACTGGACAGTGCAGATATAGGGCATTTTCATCAGTGAAGAAAGTTCTATTGGACACTGTTGCTTTAGAGTCAAAGACGGGTCAGGAGTAGAGAGAAAGAGCCCAGTTCATGGATTTCTGGAAATGGAGCTGCTTCTTTAAGAAGTCTGATTACATTGTGCAAATAGAAGAGGGTTCATGGAGTGGGGGCTCCCCTGAACGGTCATCTGGGGTGAGCCTGGATAAAGGGAGAGATCCTCTTGACCCGAATCCTGGCCCCTCCCGCCCTTCCCTCCGATACTGGCACCCTTGGCAATACAAGTGAGCAATTAATTGGCTGGGGTGGGGCCTGGGTCGAAGCAGAAGGGAGGGGAAGGCAATGGAGGAGAAATCAGCATCCTCTTCTTAGGTCCTGGGCTCCAGGCTGCCAATCCTGACTTTTCCTCATCTTTCTGGAGCCACTGGAACTCCCTTATCCCACCCAAATGTGAGCTGGCTGCTTCCTGTCCACTCATCCAGGCTGTGAGGCTGGCTAATTGCCTGCAGGGCCAACACCTTCCCAATTTGGCCTTATTAGCCTCTTGCTCAGGGTCACCAGCCATGGAGAAGGGACTATGAGTGACCTGTGAGTAACTGAGACCCAGCTCTGACAGGGTCCCCTGCCCAGGCCTGCCCTCAGGCTGAGGCTCTGGCATCCAGCACCCTTAAACTATCCCTGGCGCTCCAGAGAGCTGTTTCTAGGAATGTGGGGATTTAGTTTTGGAGAACAAAGTTCAATCACTAATGGAGCACAGAGAAGGTGTGACACAAGCTGGGTATTGGGCAGAGACTCGAGGAACAGATCCTGCCTGAAGAAGGAGCGTGGATGTTGGGTGACAGGTTCCCATGGGAAATGGTAGGACCAGGGGCTGTGAAGGAAACCTCAGTGTGTTGTAATCCTGGGCTGAGGTGGGATGGAACAGGTGCCTGGGTCTGGAAGAGAAAGGTGGAATGTCTACGTCTTCAGGGAGGATGGGCAAGAGCCAGGTGACTAGGACCCGTGGCGAGAGTGGCGGGCTGAGAGTGGGTGGCCGCTGAGCAGTTTCCATGTTGGGCAACCCACGAACGAGGGAGCCAGAGGCAGTCCAGTCAGGTGGCAGGAATCGCTCAGCCTGCGTGGCCATGTGTACCCCACACTGCAGTCACCACTGCTGCTGAGTCTGCAGATGCTCCTCAGTGATTGCTTTGGCTCCTCCCAGCCACGCCAAGTGCCCTCGGGCACCAGTCCCTCCGCCTCTCCTCCCCTGCCCACAGTGACTCCTGCCTGGAGAATGTCCAGCCCTGCCATAAAGGACCGTGTGGCCGCGAGCTGCTGTCAGTCAGTTGCACGGTCCAAGATGGGTTTCTCTCGGGCACGCCGGACAGGGCGTGTGGGAGGGCACGGGATGGTGGCGCTGCTGCTGGCTGTTCTCCTCCTGCCAGGTAGGCGGCCTGGGGCCCTGGGAGTGGAGGGAGCTGGAGGGATGCTCATATGGGATGGGAGAAGGTTGGGGGATCCTGTGTATGAGAATGGTCGTTGGGGGTTGCAGTGAGGAAGACTGTGAGGGTTCTGGCTTCCAGTGCTGGAATCTTGGCCTGCCCCTCACTGCCTTGTCACTTCAGAAGAGCTATTTAAACCTGGAAAGCTACAGTTCCTGAGACTCTAAAACTGGGCTAATAATAACATCAAGCCATAACTTCTCTGTGAGTCTCAGTTAATGTAAATGCCATGTGCTTTGTAAATTCTGAAGAGTTACATAAATGTTAATTCTTGTGCTCCAAGATGAGGACCAGACACTAAGTAGTAATAATAACAGCTACCGTTACAAAGAGTCCTTTTTATGTGCTCTAAGGGAGCTCTGGGGGTACAGCCCATTGGGAAATGTGCTGCTAACCCCATTGGTGGTGCCTCACTGTTGGTTCAAATCAACCAGCTGCTCCAGTGGAGAAGACAGACAACCTCTCTCTGTGTGATAGACCTTTGAAAATCTGCTGGAGGGTCAGCTGTGAGTCAGTTCTGACTCAAAGGCAGTGAGTTTTTATGTGCATACTTCTTATCATGACACTAACTGTGACAGAAGATTTATTATTCTCATTTTACAAATGACAAAGGAGGTTAGGACACCAGCTGATGATCACAAAAGTTAGAAAACAGGAAAGGCAGGATTCAAACTCAAGCTGGGTGACTCCAGGGTTTGTGCTATTGACCCTACACCTTTTCGGAATTTCTGTGACCTTCTCCATAGACAGGTCAATGGAGAGAGGGGCTTACAATGTGTGGGGTGGGTAGAAGAGGAGAGAAGAAATGTTTGTTGAATTAGTGCAGTGGAATGACGAAGCAGTGGACAGAGCAGCGGTTTGGCCAGAGGGATCTGCAGAGTTTGAGGAGAGAGTTGTGGACATCATGGATGATGCCCAGGGGTGTCCTGGGATGATGGAGAATAATTTATTGCTTTACAATTTCTAAAGCATCTTCCACAAAGGTTCACTCACAGCCTCACAGTAATGATGAAAGGAGGGTTGGACATATTTGACCTCTTTGGATGTATAAACTGAAGCTCAGAGAAGTTTAGTAATTACCCAATGACAATACCATTTGGGACCTGAGGGGTTGAAGTGGACAGAGGAAACTCAAGAGAAAGAGGAGAGGAAGCATTGGGGTGTGTGTGTGTGTGTGTGTGTGTGTGTGTGTGTGTGTGTGTGTGTTTAAACTGAGCCTAGGGGCTAATGTGAGAGTCAATTAAGAGTGATTCTCCCACCCCAAGGGTCTGGGTGGGGGACAGGCAGGTAGGTGTTTGTATGTGATGGCTGGATGGGGAGGGAGAGAAACAGATAATGGTCAGCAGCCTTGGAGGAGGCCTCCCTCCTGATGTCTCTGGGCCATGTCTGTGAGTGTGGGGGTGTCTCTGGGTGTGGCGTCCTGTCATGCTGGTACCGGCAAGTTCTGAAGCAATAGGTGGGTGTCCCCATGTCCTGGCCCCCACCCAGCTTTACTGGCAGACCAGAGTTGACACTGGGAATGGAATTTCCTGGACCCCTTCTCCCAGGTCTGGACTCTTACTGTAAGCTGGTGATTGAATATTGGTCCTCTGCTTGTCCCTTATTTCAGACCCTTTGCCACTTGGTTTCTCCTTTGCCAGCATTTCTCATCGATTCTTTCTTCCTTTCTCAGCCCCTCATTTTTTTTGTCCCTTGTCTTTTTCCATTTGATCCCTTACTCTCATCCAGAATTTACTTCCTGAGGAGAGATGCCCTCATTTTTCTGTCTCCTTCTTTCCAACTCTGTGTAGGGTCATTCCTTCCAAACCTGTTGGTTCCTACCACTTCTCTATTCCTTCTTGTCTTCACCTTTCATTTCCTAGACCTCTCACTCTGGGACCCATTGTCTTTTTTTTCCTGGTACAACTTTGAACTCCTTGCCTCTTCAAAGCATACTTGTCTTTATTCTGCCATTTCAACAGGGTCAACATTCAGTTCCCCCACTTTCCCACCCCAAATCCTCCTTGAAGTCATCCCAGGAAAAGTCAGAGTGGAAGGTGACTATAGTAGGTGGCAGGGGACGGGGAGAGAAAATCTCTCTGGCCTTTGTTGTTGTTATGTGCTGTGGAGTCTGAATCAACTTGTAGCTGATTCTGAGTGGCTTTTCAGAGACAGTAAATTGCACAGAAGGAGATTGCCCATCTTTCTTTCATGGAGCATCTGGTGGATTTGAACTGCATACCTTTGGATTGGCAGTACAGCTCCTACGACTAGGCCACCAAAGCTCCTTTTCTTGCTTTTAATAACCACTCTTTTCTTCCCCAGGGACCTTGGCTAAGAGCATCGGGACCCTCTCCGACCCCTGCAAGGACCCTACTCGTATCACCTCTCCCAATAACCCCTGTTTCACTGGAACAGGTGGTTCCAACAGCCACAGTAGTTCCAGCAGTTACATTTCTAGTTCCAGTGGCTCCAATGGTGGCTCCAGTGGTGGCTCCAGTGGTGGTTCCAGTGGTGGTTCCAGTGGTGGCTCCAATGGTGGCTCCAGTGGCGGCTCCAGCAGTTACATTCCCAATTCCAGTGGCTTCGGTGGTCAATACAGTAGTGGCTCCAGTGGTTCCAGTGTCTCCAGCAGCGGATCCAGTGGATACAGTGTCTCCCAGGGTAGTTCTTCAGGATCTTTAGTATTTAAGCCAGGAATGATGCATCACCAGAACAGCTATTCCTCTGGATCCAGCTCCGCTCTACAAAACCCATCCAACTTCCCCCAGTCCGGAAGCGCCCAGCAGTCTGGAAGCGCACAGTCTGGCTCAGCTCTTCCCACCAGCAATGGTTCTTCTCGAGTGGTAATAAGCTCCTCCCAAAAAGGAGCAGGCTCGAGCTCTTCTATTTCCCAAACAGCTTGGGTTTCCAGCAGCGGTGGCCAAAAGGTCCTCTCCAACCAGCGCCCCTGTGGTCCAGATGTCCCTGATTCTCCCTGCAGTGGGGGCCCCATCATCTCACACTCTGGCTCCTCCTACATCTCCGGCTCCCACACTGTGTCAGGGGGCCAGAGGCCTGTGGTTGTGGTGGTGGAGCAGCATGGCTCTGGTGGTCCTGGAGTGATTCAAGGTGGTCCTTGTAGCAATGGAGGCCTTCAAGGCAAGCCCTGCCCCCCTATCACTTCTGTGGTAGACAAATCCTACGGAGGCTATGAGGTAGTCGGTGGCTCCTCCAATAGCTATCTGGCTCCTGGCATGACCTACAGTAAGGGTAAGATCTACCCTGTGGGCTACTTCACCAAAGAGAATCCCGTGAAAGGCTCTCCAGGCGTCCCTTCCTTTGCAGCTGGGCCCCCCATCTCTGAAGGCAAATACTTCTCCAGCAATCCAATAATCCCCAGTCACAGCTCTTCTGGTTCCAGCATCTACCAGTCTGGATCTTCTTTGCTCAATGTGTTCCAGCCCGTGGGCTCTGGTGGGGTTCAACCCTGTGGGACTGGCTTTGCAGGTTCCAAGGGGCCCTGCTCCTCCTCTACTTCTGTAGTCATCCACAGTGGTTCTAGCAGCTCCGGCAGCTCCAGTTCGTCCTTCCATCCCTGCGGTGGGGTTTCCCAGGGCCCTTGCTCCTCATCAGGCTCTGGCTCCCTCAGCGGCAGCTCCATCTCCCAAACCGGCAGCAAAGTCATCCTTCAGCCCTGTGGAAGCAAGTCCAGCTCCTCTGGCCAGCCTTGCATTTCTATCTCTTCCTCCTCATTGAGTGGGGGTCCTAATGGCTCTCCCCAGCCTGACCCCTCTGCTGGTGCTAAGCCCTGTGGCCCCAACAACTCTGGCAAGATCCCCTGCCGCTCCATCCGGGACATTCTGGCTCGTGTGCAACCTCTGGGGCCCCAGCTAGTTGACCCCAAGGTTTTCCTCCCTCAGGGTGAGGAGCCTGAGAGCTCATAATTCAGCATTTGCATGCGTGCACACGTGACACACACATCAGGCACATCGTCTTCTCAATTGGGAGATGTTTGGGGATCCAGGCATGGAGTCAGTTCAATTTCCTTCCACCATCGTTCTCAGAGAGATGCTTTGTTTAATTACCTAATGTGACACACTCTCCCTTATCACCTTTTGAAACCTCCATCTTCCCAAAAGAAGAGACTACAAATCCTAATCTCATTCCCTCATGTTTCCATTTCCACTGTGACGCCTTCTCTGCCCAATCACCCACCACCCCTTAAATTTTCTCTGCCATTTCTTTGAGATGGTACAATCCTTTGTCTAACTCCACCCATTCAGGTTCTTGACTGGGGAAACTCCCCGAAATGTTTTCAGAAGGTGGAGATCTCTATGCCTGGACAAGAAGTCACCCCATCCACTCCCTCTTTTCCAAATAAAACAACATTCAAATCATCATATGCACAAAGGCCAGCTTTCACTCACCTGGGGCCTAAGACGAACTCTTCACCATCTGGTCAACTGCATAACTACGGGGGACTGGTCCCACTTGCAAGGTCCATATGCACCCTTGGAAATGACTGTTTCTGAGTGCCCCTTTTTCCTGGTCCTGCTCCCTGACTGTTTGCCCACTTTGCCCCGTGTTCGGAAGTCTGTGTGGAGGAGATGTCAAGACATCCCTGGAGACCAGAGTGGTCTGCTTGCGCTCTCTGGATCCAGTGGTTCAATAAACTGTGTGAACTAGATGCTGACTTTGTATCTTCTTGGAGTTCTGGGTCTTCTCTTAGGTGATTTTCCTCTTTGCCTCTAGAGGTCCCCGTGTTCACTATTTTCATTAATTAGTTGGCCCAAGATTTCTCCATATTCTCCTTTCACAAAGGAGAACAATAAGTATTTGTTGAACTAAATGCAGAGGCTGCTACTCTCTCGTTCTTCCTCCCATTTCTTGTTGCTCCAGGAAATTAGTGCCCTGCTTCCTTTACCCCGTAGATAGACCTCCCCTCCCTCACCTCACCGTAGATAGACCTCCCCTCCCTCACCTCACCGCCAGATCGACCTTGAAATATTTCCTCTCCCTCCCACTCAAGTTCCCTCCCCTCTACCTTGAGTTTGTCTCAGCTTCTAGATGCCACACTCTCTGGAAGTGTTGTTTTCTGGGACACCTGGAACTTTGGGAAGGTCTGAGCTACAACAACCCAGACTGGATTCCTGCTGACTGAGTAGGAGCCCAGGCTGGTGTTGTTCTGGAAGCTGAGGGCGGAGAGAGTGAAAGAAAGAGAGGAATGTGACAGGGAGAGCTGTCATACCTGGTGACTCACTGGCTTGTCCACAGAAGGGCCCAGCCGGCAGCAGTCTGCTCAGAGAGAGCAGAGGCTCATGGAGCCTTCCACCTCCATGCTTCTGCTGCCTCTGCTGTGGTTCTAGACTGAGCCATGGCTGACATGATTCTTGGTGAGAAAGGGCAGAGTACCAGAGAAGAGAAGTAGAGGTGGTGTTCAGAGAAGAGAAGGAGAAGGAACGTGGAGAAGGTGCTTTGAGGATCAAGTGATCTGTCCTGAAGACTGATGTGGAGAGGGATTCTGAGGTTGAGGAAATCTTCACAACTCAAGAAGGGGAGACTGTGAGTTTGTTCCTATAGTAAGAACCTCACCCCAAACACAAGCCACCTCTAAGAACCTCTGCTTGGCTGTAAAGGAATTCTTCTCTATCTTGGCACCCAAATCATTCTCTCCTTTTAGGATAAGGTTGACTGACCACTGACACTTAGTGAACTCAAGCACAATGGAACAAGACTTCCCAGTCCCACATAATCCTGATAAGATGTCGAGGATTAATTGGACCATAGTGTTTTTCTATGTGGTCCATTGAGATGTCATTAGGTGATTTTTAATAGTGGATTATCATGCTGTTCCTCCTAGTCTACCTTAGTCTGTAAGCTTTGCTGAAGCCTGCTAAGAATTACAGGAACATTTAAGCCTGAAAGAAAAGTGGTGGCTTCACACAAGATGCCCTGTCTAGGAGGCAAATCTGAACCTCCAGCATGGAAGGTGAAAATATTACCACTGAGCCATTATTGTCCCTTGGCCTCAAATTTAGAGATGTTCTGAACAGAAGCATACTACATTGATCAGAAATGAATAGGCAGAAATGTTCTGTAGTTTTCTGTGTATACGTCTTTTGTGTCTCTAGTTAGGTTCACTCCCAAGTATCTCAATTTATGGTTGGTTATTGTAAATGGTATTGCTTTCTTGGTTTCCTTCTTTGAGTTCTCTTTGTTACTGTAGCAGAATCTCTCTGATTTTTGGATATTGATTTTATATCCTGCCACTATACTAAATTGGTCTACAAGCTCTGTGTTTTTTTTTTTTGTTTTGTTGAATCTTTGGGGTTTTCTATGTACACTATCATATCATCTACAAATAGCAATATGAACATTTCTGCAAGACACAATAAAAGATCTAAAAAAATGGAAAAATGTGCTTTGTTCATGGATAGGAAGACTCAATATTGTGAAATTGACAATCCTACCAAAAGCAATCTACATATTCAATGCAGTCCCAATACTGATACTAAATTAATTTTTCAAAGAGATTGAAAGGAAAAGTTTCAAGTTTATTTGGAGATGTAAGAGACCTCAAGTAAGCAAAACACTTCCGAGAAACAAAAATGAAGTGGGAGGGAGGTATAGCACTCCCTGACCTTAAAACCTACTACACAGCAATAGTAACCAAAACAGCATGATACTGGTACAATGACAGGCATATAGATAAGTGAAACAGAATTGAGAACCCAGAAATAGACCCAGCAATCTATGGCCAACTGATATTTGACAAGGAAATCACAGCTATCAAATGAGAAATGACAACCTCTTCAACAAATAGTGCTGGTAAAACTGGACTGCTACCTGCAGAAAGCAGAAGTGAGCTGGGCAGCTCAGCCAGCAGGAAGGGTTGTCTGAAGATGGAGCCTGACTCCAAAACAGTCCTGTTTCTGACATCACAGTTGAGTCCCTCCCTGTTTAGCATCTAGCAGCCACTTTAGGATTCAAGACAATTAGAGGCTTGTGGTTGGGAGTTGCCGGGAGGGAGTCTCCTCTAGTGTCTGGTGTGGTCAAACATTGATGGATGTTACAAAAGGGCGACTGCCCTCCTTCCATTGGTCAGTCTGGAGAGGAGCTCTCCACTCTTCCAATGGCCAGCTGGCAAGGGATAAGGAGCATAAACTTGGCTAACAACTAATGTTTAGATGTTGGAAGTCAGCAAGCCTAGGGTGGGACTTCCCAGGAACAACTAATGAAGGAAGCTTTTTATCAAAACATTTTATTATAAGAAATTTAAAACATTTACTAGAATCAATGTCTCTTTAGGTTTTCATCACCCAGCATCAAAAAAATATCAACACATGACCATTTAACAACAACCTTGAAATGTCCTTCTTCATTGTATTTGCTATGCTTCTGAAACTTGGACAATGAATAAGGATGACAGAAGAACTGATTCCTTCAGGTTGTGGTATTAGAAAAGAGTGCAGCAAGTCCCTTTTGTGCTTCTTTCTCCTCAGGTAGCCCCTCTCCCTCTGGGCCATACCTGGGGGTGCGGGTGTTACCCTTCCCAGTGTTTTTTATTCCTGTGGGGTTCACCCCAAAGTATTAAAAGTAGCTTTGTAAGTAAAAAAAAAGTTA